AAATCTATAATTGTTTCGCATATTTATTCAGTGTAAAATATATAAACCATAGAAGACTCACAATTATGCCCCTGTGAATTTATTGCAACCAATCAAATAATCTACATACAAAGTGAATACGCGTAATATATGTATTGATCAGTGATTTATAGTGAGAGAGGAAGAGAGAAATGGTTTACCCATTGTTCTTGCGTCTCTATTGAACGAGACAGAAATGTGAAGGAGGAACTGATTAGGGTCTTAGTTACTAGGTTTATATGGTGTAGCGGAATTAGGCGGGCCTTGTAGCCTCATCTTTGTGGTTAAAAATTTGGAGAATTCCACAAAGAGCACTAAATTTGGACAAATACCTTTATGACACTCTTTTTTTTTTTTGGGTAGAGTTTCACTTTTTTGCTATTTTCCGTGAATGCGATTCTGAAGATAAAGAGCTTGTTAGGGAGAGATTCAAACAAGATAGATAAACATGGACTGCCCATCATTAGAATATGAATTTTATTTTTATTTTTAATTTATTCTTTTTTTTTCTTTAATTGCATTAGATCTTATTGTAAAGGACGTAGTACTTTCACTTTTGTTGTTTTACATTTGTTCTTTAACATTTACTTTTATTGTAAGGGAAGTAGTCTTCCTCATTTACTACTTTCATTATTTTCATATGTAACCATGCTATCCTTCGCCACAAGTAAGGGCAAATTAATAAAATTTCGAAGGTACCACTCTCCTTTAAATTTTTTTTTTAAAAAAAAGTGTTCTAGCAAGCATAGTATGGTCAATTATGGTCGCCAAAATCATTTACTAATTAGCGACCATGAAAGTTGGTCACTATAGAAGTCAAAAAAGTTGAGAAAAAAAAAAAGTCGAAATAATGGCGTCAAATATTCCAGCAACCAAAAAATTTGGTAGATGAAAGATATACACCAGCGACCAATATATGATCGCTATAAAAGTCAAAAAGTTGAAAAAAATAGGCGGGAGTGATGGCCCCAAGTGTTCTAGCGACAAGTAAATTTGGTCATTGAAAGACGTACACCAATGACCAATGTTTGGTCACTGAAACCTTGGACTAATCAGCGACCAACGAATTTGGTCGCTAAAACCTTGGACTAATCATCAACCAACGAATTTGGTCGCTATGGAAGTCAAAATGTTGAATAGAACAAGCGGGAGTGATTGGCGCCAAGTGTTCCAGAGACCAAGAAAATTTGGTTGCCGAAAGGCATATTTTAGCGACCACCATTTGGTTGCTAAAACCTTGGACTAATCAAGGACCAATGAATTTGGTCGCTATAAAAGTCAAAATGTTGAAAAAATAAGTGGGAGCGACGGTACCAGGTGTTCCAGCTGCCAAATAAATTTGGTTGCTAGAAGTTACACAACTAACGACCATTCTATGGTCGCTGGAACATTGTACTAATCAGCAACCATATTCTTTGGTCGATGACGAAGCTAAAAAACGTGGAAAAAACAAATGGGAGTAATTGCGCCAATTTTTTCAGCGATTAACAAAATTTACTCGCTAGAACATTCAACCAGCGACCATTCCTTGGTCGCTGAATATGCAACAACCGATTATTCAGTGACCAACATTTGGTGGTTGCTAAAAATGATAACCAGCGACCACACAATGGTCGCAAAAAAGTTCCAAAAAAATAGTTCAATTTTAGCAGACCATCGCCCTTCACCAACCAGTCTGTGGTCGGTGAAAGTATATTATAGCGACCACTTTTTTATGGTTGCTAAAAGGTTGGTCGCTGGAGCCCCTTTTTTTTGTAGTGGGGGTTGGTTTTTCCATATAATAGGGATGGTGATTTCATTTTGTAGGTGCATCATAAAAGGATACAACTTCAAAACATGTAAATACTCCCTTTATATTTCATACTATATTTCTATAGTTTTGGCAACTTGATATTTTTCCTAAAGTGCTACTGCAGATTTAATAATTTCTATAGTGGCTGAAATAAACAATTAGGCCAGCAACTTAATGGTGCTGAAACGATGATACGAGTTATAACATGTGCACTCCCACTATAATTAATGTTGATCTATCAAACATCATTAAATTTCAGAGTTGATGCCCGTTGTACAGTCCTAGATGCAGGAATTATCTACTTCATCCGACTAGTTCTGGGTTCGAATCCCGGGCAATCCATTGTCATATCGAAATTTATTTGACTATGATGAGCCTTTCGTCTAATCCTTTTTATGTAACTCTGTGACATTCAATTGACTGATAATACCCGAATGAAAGTGAGAAAATTAGTTTATACGATTAAAAGTTGGAACTATTAATCATTCGGCCGATTGCTTATCCTTCCTTAATTAAAAATTCTCTGGAAAATTAAAGGTCATTGAAATCTACAACGTATCATTTAACATTAATTAAGTACTTGTAAAAATAAAAAATTAATTGCGTCCTCGATCATTTTGAAAATGGGATTAGCTAGAAGGTGTTTGAATTTCACTATGATTTTCTGCTTGCTTCCCATGAATTATTTCTTTGTATCTTTTAGGATCCTAAACTTTGGTTATTAACTTCTGATGTGGTTATCGGATTAATTCTAAAGCTGGATGATTACTTACATACATAATAATAAGTCCTTGTGTAGTTGAAATAGGTTAGACATTCAAACATAATTGAAGTGCTTGCTTCTGTATTTGTGAAATGATCACAGGAGGCTAAATTCCATGTGCACCTTAATATTCTACATGCTTATGGTTGAAGAGTTGATGAGCATCATGCCTTGTTCAATTCTTTCCTATTCTTTCATCAGTGAGATTTTAATAAATAAATAAAATAACTGCTAAATAGTTAAATGCTATGGTCGATATATCACAATGCAGGAGTTTTCTTTACAAGCTGTTAGAAATTGAAACATATATCTTAAAACATAGCACGAATGAGATAGGGAAATACCTTTGTGGTTTGAGAAATTAAGAAAAGAAATGATGGCTTTTCTTCATCTAGGAAGGTTATGGGTATTGATTGGCGTCCTTTCATAGCTCGATAGTGATATGAACAATTTCTTATGATAAAAGATGGAGCAAACAATTAATTTTTTGCAATATATGAGGTAAATATGTGCACATATGTTCTCTTAAACACTGTCATTATTGAATACAAGTTGTTCCTTGATGACCACTAAAGGAAATATATTTTCCAAGCTGCAGGTAAAATTATGTGATTTTTACGCAGTCATTAATATTTGCGCACGTACATCAGTTTTGCAATTATTTTTTGTCAATAATTGATCATGACATAAGTTTGCTAATGATGTTCTGAAAGTACCTACGTGCATATATGTGGGAATAGAAACTTTTTGAACAAATTATGTTAGAACATAATTGCTATTCATTTCAAATTTTATTTGTTTAATTTTAATCTATTGGTAATAAAAGTTATGAGCAAATGTTTCAAAGAGAAGTTTCATATTAGTATAAAATTTTGTAATCGACACTTAATAATTAAGGTTATAATATTGTATACTATATTTTCTTGGAGTAAAGTGAAGGGGTACATTTAACTCAAAATAAAATTTAGAACTACAAGTTAAAGGCAAATTTAATGTGTGGTTAATGATACAATAGTAGCTATTAGTTATTGTATTTAAGCGATGTTACATGCAAGTCCATAATGTAATGTGTAGAATTATTTATGTATTGATTTTTCTACTCTAGTCAATCCTTGGCTAATTAACAAAAAATATAAAAATATGTTATTATAGGACAATTTTAGAAAGTGAAAAAAAAATGGTAGATATTTGACTTACAGACCGATTTTGGTATTGTTTCTAGTTTCTATAGCACTATGATGTCTCAAAAAAAAATAAAGGTTAAACCCTAACCTTAAGGGTCCCCCACCACCCCTACCCTGGAGCATCGTGAGGGAGGTAAATCGCAGGTTATGCCTCCAAGGGTACAGGGTGAAAGGCTGCTTGTACACTTGCACTTACCCAAGAGCCAAATCTATATTTCAGGATTCGAACCCTTGACGCAGCAGCCTCAAGCAAAGCTAGATTTCTCCACCCTCCCCTTTTACCACTTGGAGATGTGCCCTGGGGGCGCACTATGATGTCTCAATAAGTGTATTGGTGGTTAATGCATATAATAAGCATTAAGAATTTCGGTCCATTGAAAAAGGAGAACTATTATGACTTGTAATTTTGTTATATTAAAAAAAGCTCTACAAGCCAAATATCTTTTGGAATGTGGGGTATTTAAAAATTTCAAATAAAATAGACCTTATATTTATTATTCTTTGTGTAAAACTGACTTTTGAAAATTGTTAGAAACGAAATTGGAGACATACAGGTGAAACATAAGAGTTGAATGGATGCACATATTCAAACATGACTATAAGTCAATTTTAAATTTCATGTGTTTAATTTTAAATTTCATGTGTTTATCTTATTATACTTAAAGTGACTTTGATATTTTGAAATATTTTTAGAAGATTTTGCAGATGTGTAGATGTGCAGGCAGAGAATAAGAGCTCGAAAATATTATGGTACAAAATTATTGTCTAAGAGGGACATGATTATAGTCCGCAATGGACACAATAAATCATTGAGGGGGATGGTTTAAAGCCCTAAGTGAATCACATTCGGGAGTAATCCAACCTTTGTTGAAGATCTCATGAAAATGGTTCAATGTGGTAGAAATAACCCATACTGCATCACTTGTAATAGCACTATTTTATTTGAGCTCATTTCTATAGTGATGTGCTAGTAATAATGTGATCTTTTGAAAGGTTTATCCATGAATGAGTATTGAGGCAAGTATTCTTGCGAGGTGTGGGTCACACGCATCTTTGGAAGACTCACTTATGTAAGAGTTGTCACGAGGTTGTGGCTATTGAATTGGACTATTCTCTAGAGACTCGTTCTAAAATCAAGATGAATTGACAACTTTAGTAATTTATCTGCAGGAAGTGTCACAGAAGGTTGATACGGTTACAAATTGCAGTTGCCAAGTTTGACTATATCTCATGCCCATGGAAGGAAGACTTGAGCATTCACACTCGATGGAAAAGACTAGTCTTTCCCTTGCAATACGCTTCCCTTAGTACTATCCATCCTCACTCACAATTCATTGCCTAGTAATCGAAAATCATGCTTAGTGAAACCTTCCTCCTTGAATGTTTATCTGTCCTGATCCTACTACAATTACTTCAAATATCCTGCGCAAACCGTAATCCCCAATGCAACCCTTCTGCCTGTGGCAGGATTCATAACATCAGCTATCCTTTCCGATTAAAAGGGGATCCAAAAAGATGTGGTGATTCCAGTTATGAACTAGTTTGTGAAAACAATACAGCCTCACTTTATCTAAATTCCCACAGGTACCATGTGAAATCCATCAATTACCATAATTTCACTATTCATCTGGTTGATGCTGCCTTAAAAAATGATACTTGCTCTTTTCCTCAGTATTCTATGTTTCGATACAACCTCTCTAAAAATTATCCTTATAGCATTTACGCCTACAACTCAACCTATCGATCCTTGAATAAATTAAACTCGCCAATTACTTTTATGAGCTGCCCATATCCCGTAAATTCTTCTTTCTTTTTGGAAACTGCTCATTGTGGCAACAGGGTCTTTGATTCAAATGATTCCACCAGAAGATACACGTATGTTAACGTTGGCAATTTGAATGCGTCAGATGTAAGGGATATGTGCAGTATAGATCTCATAGTGATGACATCGTGGCCATTTAAGGATGTCAATCATCTTTCACTTTCAGACATCCATAGCTCTCTGCTATATGGATTTGAGCTTTCATGGTTCACTGCGACGATTAGCCGTTGCAAAAAGGAAAAAGATTGCAACATTTGTTCTTTTACGAGGGGGTCTGCACACTTCTGCTCCGGTAAGACTTGACGGGTGCGCTGGCCTGTTTTCTTCTAAATCAAATACTGATAATGGATGTGTCATGTGTGGGTCAAGTTTGCCTAGAGAAACAAATGTATATAGAAGGTAAAATAGAGATGTCCAAATGCTGTAAAAAAAAATAAATAAATAATGTCACAGTAACAATTAATAATTAAGAAGACACTTGTATTCATCACCCAATATTCCTTTTTCTGATGATTTATTAAAGTGTAGAGGTCGTAACATCTCACCATATATAAATAACATATATATTGGTCTTGCAACAATTTACAAATCATACTTTTCCCTAGTTAAATATAATTCGACTTCAACGTCCTTACATTTGAAATGTTTCTTTAAATTTTTTTCTGACGATGTTTGGTTGTTGGCAATGTAGGTTTCTCGATTAACTACATGATTTATGTGATTTATGGTAAGGACCCTTTCACATTCTCTTTTCTTTAACTCCATTTAGGTTACAGTATTTTAATCCTCTAACTGCAAAAACGTTTATAAGAAATTGTCTTGCAATATTTGAAAAACTTATGCACATTGCAGTGCATTTCATTTTCACAGAACACATTTGTTACTTCATAGGTCGTATTAATGAAGCAGATTATGTTGTTCTTTATAAATTAATTCAAAAATTATCTTGAATTTCATATTGTAGAATTTGAATGGAAAATAACAAAAACAAGGTATATACACTTGTTAATATTGATGTGTATCTTTATTATAAATTGTGAAATCTTTATGAAATGTACCCGCACATGCAAATACACTTATATGAATATTATTCAGATGAAATATTGTATTATTAAGTAATATTTGTTTCTCAATCATGTTTGGGTAAGTTAAAAAAAGTTCCTTATTTTAGAAGTAACTTGCAGCTTACTTTCAAATAAGTAACATACTTCATTTCGATTTTAATCAATAAAAAGTAATTTACTTTAAATTTATTTATTTAGTTATAAATGAACTTTTTAAGTTCAGCCAAACAGGCACTCAGAGCTTGTTATATATTTCTTGCATTCCTTCTTATTGGATTAATGGTTAACTTGCAGGGTTTTCCAAATTACTCCCGCTGATCACGGGTAAGCTTTATCCATTTTACACTGAGTTGTCATTTGACATTACAATATAGAAATTTGTATCTTAAATGAAGAATTTCTAAATCTTGTGAGGTAAATTACTTGCTTTTTGTATACTTCAAATCAGCAATTCAATGAACAAAGGTTCTAAAACTCAACCACTTTAGAAAGATTTCATTTCCACAATCTCAATGCCAACTTTTATGAAAATTTTAAATTAAAAATATTATTTTAGAACCATTTCTACTTCGGGTTCATTTTCATGCAAGAATTTCTGTCCCATTTTTTCTTAACTTCAGTCATATTTTTCTACCTGCATATGAGTATTCATGCTATAAAAACTCATTTTTAAACGCACATTTTCTTAATAAAATAATTTTACACGTAAACATAAAATTTTTTCTACTTTTTATAACACATTCTCCAAAAAATTACTATTATAAAACCTGTTCTACATATAAATGGGGCTCAAAAACAGCCTAAATGCAAAATAGCTCAGCTTTTTCATGTGCCAGGCAAAGAAAGAATTCCTGGTAGTATTATGTCTTTGCAAAATAATATTCTAATTGTTCTTCTCGTTTCTAAATGAACAGCAATCAACCTTTTACTAAGGATCTTAATTGCAATTCCATTCGTGCTCGTGTTACTTGTCTATAAACTGAGAAGAAGACACATATCAATGTTTAAAGCAATAGAAGACTTTCTACGCAGTCAGAATAACCTGATGCCCATCAGTTACTCGTATTCAGAAATAAAGAAAATGACCAAAAGTTTTCGGGAAAAAATAGGTGAAGGAGGCTATGGTTCAGTTTACAAAGGAAAGCTTCGAAGTGGAAGGGATGTAGCAGTGAAAATACTGGGCAAAAATAAATCAAATGGACAAGATTTTATCAATGAAGTTACCACTACCGGAAGAATTCATCACGTCAATATAGTTCGACTTGTTGGTTATTGTGCAGATATGTCCAAGTGTGCTCTTTTATATGACTTCATGCCTAATGGTTCACTTGAGAAGTACATCTCTTGTCAGCAAGGTGGGACTCATTCATTAACTTGGGAGAAAAAGCATGCGATTACACTTGGAGTTGCTCGAGGGATTGAGTATTTGCATCGAGGTTGTGACATGCGAATTCTGCATTTCGATATCAAGCCACACAACATACTTCTCGATGATAACTTCACTCCTAAAATTTCTGATTTCGGGCTAGCCAGATCTTACCCGACTGGAAATAGTATTGTGACTATTACTGCTGCACGAGGTACAATTGGTTATGTAGCTCCTGAATTGATCAACAGAGGCATTGGGGCTGTCTCGCACAAGGCAGATGTTTATAGCTTCGGAATGTTGTTGATGGAAATGTTAGGTCTAACGAGAGACTTGATACAAAATACGGAACTTTCTAGCCAATACTTTCCCGATTGGATATATGATCGTTTCAACGAGGGTAAGGATCTTGAAATTGGAGATGCTGATGAATCAGGCTGTGAAGAAATGAAGATTACTAGAAAGATGACAATAGTTGCATTATGGTGCATACAGATGAATCCGTTGGATCGTCCTTCAATGAGTAAAGTAATGGAAATGCTTGAAAGTGAAGTTGAGACTCTGCAAATTCCTCCTCAGCCTTGCCAGCCACCCATACAGGTTGCGCCACCTGAGGACCAAATGTGGGGATCAGATTCAACCGACTCCATAGCCTTATTATGCAATGCTTCCAGTTTAGTGAATTAAGCCGTTGAGCAATAAATCATTACCCAGCAATACTCAAATTGATACAATGTCCCTTTTTCTCTTCGTCTAGTTTCTTGCTTTATGGTCATGCAATTCATTGCTGCTTAGATAAAAACATCGGTATATTATGTTGTGTTGTGTTTTTTGGTATTGTGTAATGTATAATTTAGGTAATATTAAGGAAGAAACGAAAGTTGAATTCTCGTCCACTATACATTCAATAAGAATGTTAGATGCCTCATATTCTCCTCAGATAACAAAGCATCATAAATCTCTTTCACAATGAAAGTATCCCGACTATAGAGAATAGTATTTCTAGAAGTCACCTGTGATGACAACAATGAAAACAAAAACATCAACGCTATGTCCTACTCGTCATACTTAACCTCCAATATATCCAAATCGGCCACGATTTCTTTGAACGTAGTCAAGTGATCATCCAATGACCACTTTAGACATTTTATGAGAATACACGTGTTGTTTCAAGTGTAGCTTGCTAGTCAAGCTCTTTGTCATACAAAGTTACTCTAACTTTAACCACAACGCAATGACACTTTTCTCCTTGAGAACATCCCGATGAATTCGATTTGATAGATAAATTTAGGTTTAGGCTTTCCGATCCCTATGCTGCTTTACATTCTACCTCCGAGTTGAAAGCATCTTATCAAATCCAAGCAAGGCTTACTTCAAACCCATTTGCTAGAGAACTGCTCGCATCTTTACTTACCATAAAGTAAATTTCGTGTTTCGATCCAATAATGGAATATCAAATTTCATCACTGCCATGCGAAATAATCAATCATCGTTCCGACACCACTTATTGTGAATTTGACCAGAAGATTATGACAGAGGGGGAGAAATTCTCTATAATCAATAGCAATTGTGTTTATAACAAGATCTCAATACTCTCAACCAAAATCTAAAACTCTAAAGATGTGGTATGAATGTTATCAATCAATACGAGCCGTGACTTATATATATCAAAGCTTAGAAACCAAGTTGTAGATAAATAAAAGTCCAAGACACGTTAAAAAGCGAATACTCGGGAAAGGCTGTAGCTCAAGCTGCAGGCGGGCGAGAACTTTCTGTTGAGAATCTACTAGTGTTGCTCAAGCAGGCAGTTAGCAACAGACTAGCAAAAATGTTGTGATAATTTTCTCAATCCATAAGTTTGATCTTTCCAAGGCCACTTCAAATACAATTCTTATACTTACTAGAATTTGGGTCATATTATAACACCTATCACTACCACACATTTTTCTATCAACGTGCAAACTCATCCTTGTGGAATTTTGTTAGTTCTCTAGTTCGGGATTGTCTTCTTCCCCCAATTTGAAGAGTGGCGAAAAAAATTGGACGAGAGGGAATGGCAAAAAAGTACCCGAAAAGTGCCATTGTGAATATCATTTGACAGATTTTTTTCCCTATAAATGAATGACTAGTAGAGATATGTGAGGGAATGGTAAACAAAATCCTTTACACAAGGAATTTGCCTAATCTACTTGTGATTGTTGACGGCTTATGATTTTTTGTATGAGAAAAAATTGTTTGGTGAATTTTTTTAAGTAATTGTTTCTTTAATATTCTTAAACTACAATAATTTGCTTGTCATAATTCACGAGAAATTGTCTATTTAACTTTTCGAGCCATTCTGAGTTTCTTTGATCGCCAGAAATTAAGACATGCAACGCTACACGAAGGTGATTTCTTTATTTTATTTTTTTTTCTTTATAATGTCATTGAATCCTTCAAAAAATTGATATTATCTTATTCAACTGTGCAGTCGGAAAAATTCCATATTTTCTTCGAGAGGTTTTTATATAGATGGAGTTCAAGGCAATCAAACTTAATCTAATTGCAAGTTTGGTATACAGCGGTATACATCATTAGAAACTTTATGTTTCCTTCTTTAATATTGCCTAAACATGCACTAAATATTGCTAATTGGCGATGAACTGTCTTAAGTAGATGGGGCTATATGATTACTTCAAAAATTAGCGACAACCTACATAGTGCATAAGCGATCTTTTAGCAATTAGAAGCCCCAGGCTCAAGACTAATTCAGATGATTCTAAATCAATTTGAGAAAATACACTTGGCTATTAAATCTAATTTATAGTTGAGTTGAAAGTTTTTCCAAAAATAAAAATTCGGTTGAGGTTGGAAAAGTTCATATGTGTGTACCTTCCACTCAGGCAAAATTAAAATAAATAAATATATAAACTAACTTGGCCCCATTTGAGAATGCTCAAATTGGGTAGGGCTTGTCAGAATGAGTATTAAGCATATCTAGGGATCGGGATGAAGTATTGCAATTGGATGTGAAATAATGTCCAATGATCATTATGTTATTTCTAGTCAATTACTGAGAAACAAAAATCGAGTAATTTAGTTCATCAACATTTCATTTTTTTATTATGAAATTTCAAACTAAAAACTATTGAGGCTCTTTAACCGAAGATGAAGATTAGACTCAAAGAGGAGTTCCTTAAAATTGTGTGATCTAGAGGAGCTGTTACGTACATTCAAAAAATAAAAAAATAAAAAACAACTAAATTTCCATTCAAAATATTTTCAAGTAATGTTCACTAGATGCTAAAAGCAAACAAAACTGTTAACAAATATGATGTCAAGGCTGCATTGATGTAATAGAAAGAAACAATGTTCTTTACAGAACCATATGTCGCCACTTTTTAGACTTCTCATTATGATAAAGATACTTGTCCAGTGCCATGAATTAATAAACATTAACATGGTTCTAAAGACAAAAAAAAAAAAAAATAATAAAAATTAAACTTCTATTTTTCGAGTGTATTCCAAAAATGTAAATAATATGACTGAAAGGGATAATTTATGCTACAATATAATTAAAGATTAGTCGATATTGGTATACTCACTGCACAACAAGCCAAAATATTGTGCAATTATCGGTAGTCTTCAATATGGATAACATTATTCTCTTAAATTTTACTAGCTTATATTAGTATTTTAAATAAAATAGAAAAAAAGTTGGAATTTTGAACACAATTAAAGTAGCCCATGAAATTCTCTCTTTTTTGGGATTTTTAATAATGAAAACTTAAGAAGGGGATTAATTGGCACGACTGCTGCTTTTTCCCCCCTTCTTCTTTTAACTCTCTTTCCCTCATTTTTTTTTTTAAATTTATGTTTTCGTTTTTACAGCAATAGACTAAAACGAAGCAGCAATTTCTTACTGGAAGATTTATTTTGAGTTACTACTGCTCTGGATTGATAATTTATGATGGTGTGTTATGTCGAATGAATTGGGTATAGTTTGAATTGGCTAATGGTTTATGAGGTTGGGAAAGTTTTTGCACCACCGCTTGTAGAACTGTAAAGCACACACGAAGCAAAAATCGGTAAGAGAAAAATGCTACACTCTTCTAATATCAAATAGTCGTAGGATGCAATATAACAATTATAGGAGAAGGGAAAGAAATAATAATAAAGAGAGAATGGAGGGAAATAAAAAGGGAAGGAGAATTAGATAAACGGAAAGGAGGGGGAAAGAGAGAATTTAGAGGAAGAAAATTAAGTTTTATTCATATCAAAATTGTTTGAATTACATCGCATAAGACAATTTTAGAAATCTTAGGAAATATTATAAAATTAAATCCTAATTATGTTTCCTAAAATAAAAATAAAAATTGAAAATTAGATTACACAATATCTTTTATAATATCTATAAACAAATTTTACAAGCACTTTTAACAATCTGTGATTTTATACCCACCCCCATGGAAGAATTTTTCTCCATTGGCATTGAAATTGCAGAAGATTTGTGAGATTACACCCTCCTCAAAAACATTATTTGACAGCTTCTTTTTGTACCTCAACAATTTAAGTCTTCATCTAACCAATACTACTTGAGTAATTAACATATTACTACATTGTCAACTACATATTAGCACTTATTCAGTATTTGATTCTATTAATCCATTTATTTGGTAAAGCAATTATCAATGGACTATTCTTCTTCTTTTATTTTATTTATTTTTGTAATTCTACAGTATTATGTGCATACTCCATATTTCATAATTGTCTTCAAACAATAAAATTATTTGTACGTTCAAGGTTGACATTCCGGATGACACTCCTCTCACAATAGAGGAGGGTCCACATGTAATAAAATAATTGCTACCCTCTCTTGTGAGGGGAGTGTCATCCGAGATTGACCCAAATAGCGAAGTCCGTCACCAAAATACAAAGACCTTATGAGCCAACAAGCAAGTGGTGTACAATTGACTTGAGTTATTTTTTTTCATTGGTTTGCGGCCCTATTATTTTTTGAAATGTTTTATTTATTGCTTCAAAAGTCTTTGCTCTTCATGGTCTTTCTCTTGGAACGACTTGGAGTCAATGCTGGCTATGGGGGCCAAAGGCCTACAGTTGTGTTTTTGTAGTTGTAAGTAGTATCTCTTTGTCAAGAAACAATTAATAGGGACCGTAGCACTTGTGTCTTTTTTTTGACAAAAAGGGTCGAAATGTGAAGAAAAGAATAGTGACTAGTAAAATCTTTTCACCCATCCGGAAGGATTATATTTTCCATTCTTTTAATTGGTAGAAAGAATACTCCAAATAGGAGACTTATTTATTTTGATAGTTAAATGAATTTGGAAAAGTATGAAGAATTTAAATCAAGGATAAAAAGACAGGTATTAATGCATTTAAATCTACTTGGGTGTAAACGCAGAGAACTCTCAAGTCTGAACGTGGCAAGTGGACGGGGACAGTGAAATTTCCCTTGTAAAAGCAGAAAGGGCATATTCTGAACTTACAGTTAGTACAAGAGCTTTATGATTTTTGAAATTAATTGCTTGTCTTTACATAGTACACCTCTTACATGTACGGAAAGGATACAATTGAGTCAGTGCTCGCATATCAATTAAACAAATGTGTTTGTTTTTTCTTTTTCTTTGGTTGTAAGTCAAAAAGAATGTCATTCTTATTTCGCACATTACACGTTTTTAGAGAAAAAATATGATTCTTAGGTTGGAAATAAAAGCTACGAAAAACATGGTTGCAGTAAATGGAAGGAAAAATAGCCAGCAAGCAAATATTTAATACTCCCTAGTGCTTTAAAAATTCAAATCCACTAAAATTTGCCGTGTCACTCCAATTCTGATATGACTGCCAACTCTATCTGATGAGGTCTTCGTCGTATTCCTGCAATGGAGTTTGTCCCATTTGTATCTGGAACCGGATGGGGAGGCATGGTGAGATTGTCCACATCTCCTTCCAACATTTGAACTACTACTTTCATGGATGGCCGATCTGTTGGATACCACTGAATGCACCAGAGCCCCACAATAGCTAGTTTTTTTAGTATAGTTGCATCATCACTTTCCTCAATTCGGATGTGCAACTCTTCTCCTTGACTTAATTGATTAGAAATCCATTCGGGAAAGTACACTTGGCTAGTGTTTGCTGTAGTATCATTATTCTTTCTCCCTCCAACCATTTCGAGCAATAACATCCCAAAGCTATAAACATCTGATTTATAAGATACTTTGCCAAAATTCCTTGATAAAACCTCAGGTGCAATATAGCCCATGGTTCCTCTTGCAACCGTTATTGACACAGTACTCTTTTCCTTGGAACACAACTTGGCTAGACCAAAGTCACAGACTTTTGGGTTGAAGTTGTGGTCTAACAAGATATTGTGGGGCTTGATATCAAAATGAAGGATCTGTTGGTCACAACCCTGGTGAAGATATTCAATTCCTTTAGCTATGCCTAGAGCAATATCTTGGAGCTTCTTCCAACCAAGGGAATTGCTCGTAGGACCAGCTCGGAAAATAAACTTTTCCAGTGAATCATTCGGTAGAAATTCATACATGAGAGCTCTTCTAAATCCGTCAGCACAAAAACCTACTAAACGAACCACGTTGACATGGTGGATTTTCCCGATTGTTCCAACTTCATTGATAAATTCCTCCCCGTTTCCCTTGGAATTGTTGAGGACTTTTACAGCAACATAAATTTCATTGGATAGCTTCCCTTTATATACAGTTCCGTATCCACCTTCACCCAATTTTTCACTGAATTGATTTGTAATCCTTCTGATCTCGGCATAAGAGAATCTGGTGGGCTTTTGAGCTCTGTAATCTTCCAAAAACTTTTCAATCTTCGCATGATCTTCTTTCTTTATTCTACTTAACCTATAGACATAGTATAGTGCTACAAATGTTCCCACTGAAAGGAAAACACCTAAGGTGCCACCTGTAGATTATGAAATGAGACCAGTAATTCTAATGATACCCAGTACAAGATAGAAAATTGTTGATGCTGTAAATTATACAATATAAAGATAACAATCACCTGTAACCAAACGTCTCCTATGTGCACCTGAAACGAAATAAAGCTAAAATGTCATCTCATTGTGCTATTTCAAATATAATACAAGGCACAACAACGTGAGCCATTTTTTGTTTGAAAGATTTAAAGAATCAAAAATAGAAGATGGATTGAGTACATACTACTACGTGTCTCAGGCTTGTTGGTACACAGAGTCTCTCTTGTAGTAGCATCTGAGCTGCAATTTTTGCCTTGAGCATCGCAGGGGACACAATATGGTTTCATCCATTTCAGATAAAGATACTTTTCATTAAATATATTCCTTGGAACAGAAGAAATTTCATGGATCTTGGTACATGGAGGAAAAGAATATGAGTCAACGTAATCATCAGAAGCAATGGCATAGACTCTGAGACAAGGACTATCAGTTACAGAACAGTTGAACAGACTGTAGTCATACAAGTCGTCTGTAAGGAAGTGAAATTCAGAGGCTGATAAACTAAGATTCATAAGCTTTTGGGCTAAACAACCATCAGGATCATGTAGCTGAATTATTTGAGATACATAATCAATTTTTGTTACTGCTAGCTTAACTGAAAAAGACAGTTCTAGCACAGTTTCATTGCTCTCGTTGCAATACAGATTGAAACCTGGATAACCACAATGTTCTGGCTGTAGAAATTTATGCCTGAAAGGAAACCGAATGCTCGGGCCACCTTCAGCGCACCAGGCTGTTGTACAATCATCTAATCCTACTACAACCAGTGGAAAGAAAGAGAAGAATAATTTGTAGCAGATGAAGATGAACATTTTAATCTTCAGAGTCTTATCTGTTTTCTGCATCTTCCTCTCTTTTCAATGCGATCGAGTGACTCGAAGAAAATTTATTTCAATTTACTGTTGGGAAACAAAAAGCTTGGTGGTCCAGGCTTTTCCTTTATGAAGTTGTCATTCCAATTGACTGCTCTAATAATTACTTGGCAGGAATTGTTGCAGAAACTACCAAAAGGTTACAAATCCATGGAAGGAAGACTTGAGCATTCACACACGATGGAAAAGACTTGAGCATTCACACGATGGAAGGAAGACTTGAGCGTTCACACGCGATGGAAAAGACCAGTCTTTCCCCTGCATTACGCTGAGAGGTTGGTCTTTCCCTCGGTAGTTTCGCTCACAAGGAATTTTAATCCTCCATCATAAAATCGTTAATGGTTGATCCAATGCAAGTTTTGGAAGTTTTCAATTTCGTCCCTAATCTTCCTAAATGTTGAATTTAATTCTAGAAATTTATGAATTTTTACTAAATACTCCATTAGTACTTCCAGTCGATCAATTGCAATCCAATTAATTTTCAATTGCTAGAATCAACTCCAATTGAGCTCCAAATAATTTTTTCGCGCTAATTATATTTGAGTTGGGATTTTTTAATAATGAACATAATTCACCTAAATTAAGTGAATAATCACTCAATAGAATAAGAATAGTAAGGCTTGATAAGTGCATTCTGAAGCAGATGAAGATGAACATTATAATCTTCAGACTCATCTATTTTCTTCACCTTCCTCTCTTATCAGTTTGAATCTTACATTAGAAAATTTGTTTTGATCAAGTCAATAAAACAAAATTTATTTCAAATAACTGTTGGGAAACGAAAGCTTTGTGGCCCAGGCTTTTCCTTTGTGAAGTTGTCATTTGAATTGACTGCTGTAATAATTGATTAGCAGAAACTACGTATTGCTTTCCAAAATACCACCAGAAGGTTGATTAGTCATAGCTTCAGTGTCTCTTTCTGATGGTTACAGATCCCTGAATATCACGTGTCCATGGAAGGAAGACTTGAGCATTCACACATGATGCAAAAGACTAGTCTTTCCCTTGCTGTACGCAGAGACTTAGTTTAAGAAGCATAGGTTAGTCTTTCCCCTAGTAGTTTCTATCCACATACGCACACAAGTCACTGCCCAGTAATCGAAAATCATGCTTAGAGAAACCTTCATTCTTGAATGTTTATCTATCCTAATCCTAATCCAAATACTTCAAACATCCAGCGAAAGCAATAATCTCCAATGCAACCGTTCTGCCTGTGGCAGCATTCCTGTTGTCAGCGATCCTTTCCGATTAAAAGGGGATCCAAAAAGCTGTGGTGATTCCAGCTATGAACTAGTTTGTGAAAACAATACAGCCTCACTTTATTTGAACTCTGAAAAGTACTATGTGCAAGCCATCGATTACCAAAATTTTACCATTCGTCTAGTTCATGCTAGCTTAAAAGCTTATCCTTGCTCCTTCCCTCCGTATTTTCAGTTTCAATACATCCTCTCTCTTGATAATTATCCTTATAGCCTCTACGCCTACAACTCATCCAATTCACGTCACTTTTATAATATAAGTTGGCCTATTAATTTTATGAGCTGCCCATATCCCATAAATTCTTCTTTCTTTTTGGAAACTGCTTTTTGTGGCAACAGGGTCATTGATTCGATTGATTCTTATTCATCAACCAGAAGATACACGTATGTTAAGGTTGGAAATTTGAAGGCATCAGATGTAAGAGATATGTGCAGTATAGATTTCAGTGTGCCGACATCGTGGCCATTTAAGAATGTCAATAATATTTCGCTTTCTGACATCCATAGCTCTCTGCTATATGGATTTGAGCTTTCATGGTTCACTGTGAAGATTAGCTATTGCAAAAGGAGACACTATTGTCCAATTTGTTATGAGAAGGGGACTGCACGCTTCTGCCCCGGTAAGATTTAAAGGTTACTATACTTATAAATGTATATGATAAAATTAGTGATGCCTATTTCTAAAAGAAACTAGACTGTCTTGGGCAGCAAGGTGATTTAAGTCGACACTTGTACTTATCATCCAATATTCCTTTTTCTGATGATTTATTAATGTGTAGAGGTCACAACATCTCACCATATATAAATAACATATATATTGGACTTGCAACAATTTACAATCATACACTTCCGTAGTTAAATGCAATTCGACTTCAACGTCCTTAAATTTGAAAAGTTTCAACTTTTTTCTGACGATGTTTTGTTGTTGGCTTTGCAGACGTCAGTGTTGGTCAGTGGATTCGCAGCATAATTTATTGTAACGATCCTTTCACATTCTCTTTTCTTTATCTCGATTTAGCCCTTGTTTGATCCACATTAAATTAAATTACATTACATTCCATTTTTCTCTCTCCTATTTTCAACCACACAATCTTTCATAAAATAATATTACACGTAAATCGAAAAATTTTCCTTCTTTTTCAACCACTCATTTTTCTAAAAAATACTATTCCCCGCTATTTTCATTTTCAGGTAATGGGCATCAAACAGGGGCTTAGGTTACAGTATTACAATCCCCAAACTGCAAAAATGTTTATAAGAAATTGTTTTGCAATATTTGAAAAATTTTATGCAGATTGCAGCCAAAAATTAGCTTACCTTCAAATAAGTAACGTACATCATTTCGATTTTGATCAATAAAAAATTATTTATTTTAAATTTATTTATGTAGTTATAAGCAAACTTTTCAAGTTTAGCCAAACAAGCTCTTAGAGCTAGTTGTATCATGGGCGGACCCAAGTGGGGTTCTGGGGTCCCCCAAATATTGAGAGTTTTATTTTTATTTTTATTTTTTATTGTTTGTGAATTAGTCATGTTTGGTATTGATTGGAATTTAAATTTTAGTCCAAATCAAAGTTAACAATTAATTTTAATAATATATTTAATTGAATCCTTATCTTTTTAACTTTTATCAAAATATACAAAAAATATGATTTTAACCTCCACCAAACAGAGGTAAAATCATAATAAATTTGAATTTTTCTTCTTTTCTCTCACTTTATCTCACGCTCTTCCTCACACTTTTTTATCAAAATCTTAATCTTTCTATTTTTTTTTTAAATTTGTCTATAATTTTTCTACAAATTATCATATATACTACAATTTTTCATTTTTCAATCAAATTTTCAATTAATTAGAACCTAAATTTGTATTTTTTCTATCCTATTTGTGTACATAGAATGCGTCTGAACTGATTATATCTTATTTAACGAATTATATTTATTTGATTGAATATTAGCTATATTTTTTTCCCTTCGATCACTTGAATTGATTGTTTTTATTAAATATACTATAAATTTTTTAAACATAAATACACATTTTCTTGTGATGAGCAAAATATTAATGAAGAAATGTGTTTTAAATGTAAATCTGCATTTCTTTGGGTCGAATATAAATCATTTAAAAATCCAAATCAAAATATTCAATTTGTACAGAATTTGATTGTGCCCCTCTAACTAAAAATTTCTGCGTTCGCCCCCTGGTTGTATTTTTCTTGCATTCCTTCTTATTAGATTAATGGTTAACTTGCAGGGGCCCCCTTAAATGTTCTCAGTTGCACCATTGGTAAGCTCTTTCCATTTTATACTGTGATGTCATTTGACATTACAGTATAGAAATTTGTACCTTAAATGCAGAATTTCTAAAATCTTGCGCGGTAAATTACTTGCTTTTTGTATACTTAAAATCAGCAATTTAATGTACAGAGTATCTAAAACTCAACCATAGTGGAAAGAGTTTTATTGTACGGATCCTTTCACATTCTATTTTCTTTATCTCAATTTAGGTTACAGTATTACAATCCTCCTATGGCAAAATGTTTATAAAAAAATTGTCTTGCAATACTTGAAAAAAACTTATGCACATTGCAGTCCATTGTATTTTCACAAAACACATTTGTTATTTCATAGGTTGTATTAATAAAGCAGATTACGATGTTTTTTTATAAATTAATACAATAATTATCTTTAATTTCATATTGTAGAATTTGAATGGAAAATAACAAAAACAAGGTATATACACTTGTTAATTTTGATGTGTATCTTTATTATAAATTGTGAAATCTTTATGAGATGCACCCGCACATGCAAATACACTTATATGAATATTATTCAAATCTAAAATCAGATGAGATATTTTATTATTAAGTAATATTTATTTCTCAAACATGTTTGGGTAAGTTAAAAAAAGTTTGCTTATTTTGAAAGTAACTTGTAGCTTACTTTCAAATAAGTAACATACTTCATTTCGATTTTGATCAATAAAAGGTTATTTACTTTAAATTTATTTATTTAGTTATAAGTAAACTTTTAAAGTTCAGCCAAACATGCTCTTAGAGCTAGTTATATTTTTCTTGCATTCCTTCTTATTAGATTAATGGTTAACTTGCAGGGTACTTCATACGAGTTTACGAATACATCAGGTTTAATGGTAAGCTCTTTCCATTTTATACTGTGATGTCATTTGACATTACAATATAGAAATTTGTATCTTAAATGCAATTTTTTTAAAATCTTGTGTGGAAAATTACTTGCTTTTTGAGTTTTTGTATACTTCAAATCCGCAATTTAATTTAACGTACGAAGGGTAGGGTCTAAAACTCAACCACAGTAGAAAGAGTTTCATTTGCACAATCTCAGCGCCAACTTTTATGAAAATTTTAAATTAAAAATATTATTTTCGAACCATTTCTATTTTAGGTTCATTTTCATGCATGAATTTCTACCCCATTTTTCTCAACTTCAGTCAAATTTGAAATAAGGAAGGTTGAACTAGCCCCTGTTTGGCCCTCATTTTGTAGAGTTCAAAATGGGTGGAATAGTAATTTTTTGAAAAATGAGTGATTGAAAAAAAAAGAAATTTTTTTCAATTTACATGAAATATTATTTTATGGAAGATTGTGTGGTTGAAAATAATAAAGTTAAAAATGTAATGTAATGTAATAGAAATTAATAGGGGTCAAATGGGGGCTTAAAGGCTATGGGTAAATTCAACCCCCACTTGGAGAACCCTGACACATTTTTCCTACATATATCCGAGCCCTCGTTTGGCTCCCATTAAATTGAATTTTATTTTTTTCTTTTCTATTTTCAATCACATCATCTTCCATAAAATAATATTACATGTAAATAAAAAAAATTCCTTATTTTTTAACCACTCATTTAAAAAAAAAAAAAAAAAACTATTCCACTAATTTTAATTTGGAAATATGGGGGCCAAATGAGTGCTAAATGTTGTTTGAGATTCAATTTGTAAAACTCATTTTAAATTACACATTTTCTTAATAAATTAATTTTACACATAAATTTAATTTTTTATAATTTTTTTTATATATTTTTTAAAAAATCACTATTATTACTACATATGAATGGGGTTCAAACACACCCCAAATGTAAAATAGCTCATCTTTTTCATGTGCCAGGCAAAGAAAGAATTCCTAGTTACGTATAGACTTCAACAACCTTACATTTTAAGTTTCTTTAAATTTTTGTTCTGACAATATTTGGTTGTTACATTGTAGGCGACTATGATGCGAGTTGGTACGTTGACTTTGAATGTAACTGTAAGGATCCTTTCACACTCTCTCCTCTTTTTCTCTATTTAGGTTGAATAATGCCAGTGTACAGTCAATTATTCACTGGGCTTTTACAGGAAGAGCCCCACATGCATTAAAAAGAGTACGTGGGCCTCACGTATATGTGTGGCACATCTCCAAGTGGTAAAAGGGGAGGGTGGAGAAATCCAACTTTACTTGAGACTGCCGCGTCAAGGGTTCGAATCCTGAAATATGGATTTGGCTCTTGGATAAGTGCAAGTATACAAGCAGCCTTCCACCATGTACCCTTGGAGGCATAATCTGCGATTTACCTTCTTCACGATACTCCAGGGCAAGGGCGGTGGGGGACCCTTAAGGTTGGGGTTCAACCTTTTTTAAGTCTAGCACGGTTAATTTAGGTTAGAGAAAGGCATGTTTGAAGGACTAAATCCTTGAACTGCTATAATTTTTATAAAGAAATTGTCTTGCAATATTTGAAAATTTTCTTTGTGAAGCGCATTTAAATTTTCAGAAAACATTTTTTCTCTTCCTCATGGGTTATATTAAATTAGCAGATTATGTTGATCTTTATATCATAATACAATAATATCTTTAACCTAATATTGTGTAATTTGAACGGAAAGAAACCCAAACATAGGTACAAAACACTTAATAATTTTAATATGTATCTTTATCATAAATCGTGAATTATTAAATATACACACACATGCAAATACACTTGGGTCATGTTCGATAGGCTTCTTTTTCCATGGAAAATGGATTTTCCACTCAAATGATATGTTTGATGGCCAAAAATTCCATGAAATTGGTTTTCCAATTATCCCCACGTGATGCCATTTTCTATGTTTCGAAGGAATTCAATTTCCTTTGGCTTTGGTGAGAATTGGGTTTTCTAGCTTCTTTTTTTTATTTTTTATTACTATTATTATTTTTTGCGTTGGAAACAAACTCTATCCACATTTATAACAAATTATATCCATTTAATTGACAATTTTCATGATAACAAAGCCAAACGAACACCAAAACATCCAAAATTTTAACATTTTTCAGGTGAAAAATTATACCAATCAAACACATTTAATTGACAATTTTCAATAAAACAAGCTTTAGGCAATTAAATTCCATAAAATTCGTTTTCTTTCCATCCAAATTCCATTCTTGCAATCAAACGGGCCCTTACATGAATATTAGTCTAATGTAAAATCAAATGCAATATTGTATAATTAAGTAATGTTTATATCTCAAACATGTTTCGATAAGTTAAAAAAAAAGTTATTTATTTGAGAGTCACAGAAAGAAGATAAATGAAATGGTTGAAATTCAAGCTTTTGTCTTAAATTTGAAAAAAATAAAAAATAAAAATAAAAAATCAAAGAGGGGCAAAAGTAGCCAAGTGAACAAGGCAGTTAATCCACCATGCACAGGTTTTTTCAAATAAGTGGGTTTTGTCAAATAAATATTCTATTTTATTTCAATTTTGGTCAGTAAAAAGTTACTTTAAAATTTATTTATTTAGCTTCTATTTGAGCCCAATTGCTTGGAAGAATAAATTAATAATAATGATTTTTTAAAAAAAATATGTAGTTAAAAGTAGGAAAAAAATTTAGTGTTTACGTGCAAAATTATTTTATTGTGATAATTTGATTGAAATGAGTTTGAAAAAAAAAAGAAAAAGAAAAAAGAAAAAAAATAGAGAATGAGCCCAAACAGGGACTTAGTTATTAGCAAACTTTTTAAGTTTACCCAAACATGCTCTTAGAGCTAATAGTAATCTTTTTCTTTTCTTTCTTCTTATTGGATTAATGGTTTACTCGCAGGGTGGCTTGTGATTTCAATTCTCATTTGCGGCATGGGTAAGCTCTTTCCATTCTATATATGCTATATTCACTTTTTCTATTATTCGAATCCGCAATTTAACGTACAAAGGTCCTAAAACTTAAGTACAATAGAGCAAGTTTCATTTCCACAATTCAAGTGCCAACTTCATAAACAAAAATATTATATTCTAACCATTTCTATCACAGTTGCAGTATCATGCATGAATGTATTTCTGCCTCATTTTCCCCCTAACTTCAGTCACTTTTCTTCTGCACGCATATAAGAAGTAAGGAAATTAGAGCAAGGTCTATAGAAGTTGAAGTTTGAATTTAAAATCAAGTTATTCCTTCTTATCTGGTTTTAAAGGCTATTGGTCAAGTCAGCCCACGTGAAGAACCCTGACACATTTTTCCAACATATAAATGTAAAGAAAGAATTCTTGGAAGTATCATGCCTTTCTAAATAATTTTCTAACTAGTCTTCTCGTTTCTAAATGAACAGTGATCAACCTTGCTATGAAGATCTTAATTGGAATTCCATTCGTTTTCGGATTACTTGTCTATAAACTGAGAACAAGACACTTATCAACGTTTAATGCAATAGAAAACTTTCTACGCAGTCAGAATAACCTGATGCCTATCAGTTACTCCTATTCAGACATAAAGAAAATGACCAAAGGTTTCCGTGAAAAATTGGGTGAAGGGGGTTATGGTTCAGTTTACAAAGGAAAGCTTCGAAGTGGAAGGGATGTAGCAGTGAAAATACTAGGCAAAAATAAATCAAATGGACAAGATTTCATCAATGAAGTTACCACTACCGGAAGAATTCATCATGTCAATATAGTTCGACTTGTTGGTTATTGTGCAGATATGTCCCATTGTGCTCTTGTATATGACTTCATGCCTAATGGTTCACTTGAGAAGTATCTCTGTTGTAAGAAAAGTGGAATTCATTCATTAACTTGGGAGAAAAAGCAAGCGATTACACTTGGAGTTGCTCAAGGGATTGAATATTTGCATCGAGGTTGTGACATGCGAATTCTGCATTTCGATATTAAGCCACACAACATACTTCTCGATGATAACTTCACTCCGAAAATTTCTGATTTCGGGCTAGCCAAATCTTACTCGAATGAAACTAGTATTGTAACTATTACTGCTGCACGAGGTACAATTGGTTATGTAGCTCCCGAGTTGATCAACAGAGGCATTGGGGCTGTCTCCTACAAGGCAGATGTTTATAGCTTCGGAATGTTGTTGATGGAAATGTTAAGTCTAAAGAAAAACTTGATACAAAACACGGAACTTTCTAGCCAATACTTCCCCGATTGGATATATGATCATTTCAACAAGAGTAAGGATCTTGAAATTGGAGATGCTGAGGAATTAGGCTGTGAAGAAAGGAAGATTACTAGGAAGATGACAATAGTTGCATTATGGTGCATACAGATGAATCCTGTAGATCGTCCTTCAATGAGTAAAGTAATGGAGGTAAACACTTTATAGGTTAAGGACACCATTGCACAAAGAATATGCCTCATTAAAACCTTATTAGGAAAACATTGTGGAAAATATCCTAAAGAAGGAAAAAGGAGTACATTATTCTTTTGAATACACTACAAAAGTTGTCTTATTAAAAACCTTGCTAGGAAAACCCAAAAGAACAAAACCTTGGTCAAGGAAAAAAGAGTACAATGCGTATTTACTTCCTCTCATGATAATGTGACTTGAATTATGCTTCAAGTATATTAAATCTTTCAAGAATAGTATTAAATTTATATGTAAGATAAGTTGACTGTAATCACATTTATTATGTGCATATCAGATTTCATGCATTGTCAATCTAATGAAATAGAGACTTGTGATTACATCCACTACTTGATAATTTATTTATTTATATAATTCTTTGCGACATTTATTATGTAAAAAAGTTGTACATTTCATATTACGACTTTACTTTTTTCATTTTCATTTCGCATAAATAGACACCTTTAGGTGTTCAGATTGTAAATCTAGAAATCTCAGGTTCTCTAGTAAATTCAATTTAGGTTGATATCTCTTTTATTTGGTCAATCATTACTTCGATCGATATATTTCGACTAATTTATTTTGATTCCTCATTATATGATGCAGTACATCATGCTTAAAATGGTTGTCGACAACTTTTTTCTTTTCTTGTTTGATACTATTTGCTTTTCCATTATGACATAACTTATTGAGATATCTTAATTTTCAACATATCAGATGCCTGACCATCTTCTAGAATTTTATAATTTGTTACGTCTAAATACTTATCAAAAGCATATGCCTCCTTAATGGGACTTCCTTCATGAATTGCTCCATTTTCGTTTGGAGATTTTTTTTTTGGGGCATTATAAACGAATATCATCACGTTTTAGACATGCTATACATATATCAAATATAATACTATGAAATTGTCCTCCTAGGATATCAAATCAATTGGAGCACTTAAAATTAGTGCATGGGATATTGTTTATCTCTTTGATTAGTAAATGCATCTAAATAAATCATATTTCAAACTTCTGGCTCAAGTGATCTTTTACAAGGATTTAGGTAAAGAAACATTTGTACATTATTTCCAATTTCTTAATTCCTCTCCTAATGCTAAGAGAATTTCCAATCAAATTGACAATCATTTTTTCAATGTTACAAAATATCGCTCATTTGGGGTAAGGATTCAAATTACGCATTTATTCTCAACATTCTTTACTTTTCATCTTAGTGTATTGTGGTGGTTCAATTTTATATATATTGCATTATCAAAATAAATAGATAGAAAAATTAGGCTCTGACTATGATGTTGGCATGATACGTAATAGCGTTCCCTAAACAAAAATGGGAAATGCTTTGTTCTCAATTATTTGGAGGACTTTAACAAATAAGAGTCTTACACAATTTATTGACATCCCAACTAACATTTTTAAAATGTTGAGATTTAGAATCATTAACATTAACAAATCATAGTCTTGATTATATAATCTAAAAATTATGCTTATAATTTAAAATTTGAATAGTAATTTTGCATGCTTCAAGTTGCGAAAATCATGCAATCATCTAGTATATATATCGAATATATTAGATACAAATAATATTTTAATGATAAACGTGGAGGATGATGGAGCCTCATTTATCATCTTAATTAATTTTTAGAAATATAAGAAATTTATTTCTTATTTTAGCTAGTGATAGTTAATGAAAAATTTTCATGAAAGAGAACAAATATCATATAGAATTGAGTTGAAGAATCTTCTGATTCTTTATTGAATACCCATTTGAATTTTTAATTTTGCATTATTGTTGATCCAGTAATGGTCCAACTAGTCATGCCATTTAAATTAAACCTTTGATTTAGTATAAGATATAATTCGATGATTTAGTTTCGAAAAATATGATTAAATATTATATAATTATATAGTGATAAATGTCTACATGACATAAGTCGTATGTTTTCCTTCAGGAATAAATACAAATTCATAAATTACACATAATATATTCTTCAAAATATGTGTCATTTCAAGAGAGCTTTGTATTTTATTATTGCTTCTTAAAGAGCAATACTAATATTTTTCTAAAATATTGAAACTTAGTGTCATGCTTTTTGAGATCAATAACATATTATTATTTGAAATAATAAATCAATAAGAATTTACTCTTCAAGAGTAAAAAAACAAAAAAAAAATTTATGTTAGATCGTATTTAATTATGCTATTTGAGGGCAAGTAAAATCTAACTAAAATATCCATCGATAATAGTGTTCCATTTCATGAGCAATGATATTTGTTTTAGAATATTAACAACGTTGTTCTACTTTCGGAGCATCAATAAATTATTGTTTAAACACATTAACTCTTCATGAGTATGTTTTCAAAACAAATATTAATATTTGTGGAGTTCTACTATGTCTTACTATTGCTTTTTCAAAAGTAATAAATCAATATCTTTATCTGAAATATTAAAAATTGTAATTTATGCTTTTTATGAACAATATGTCAATATTCTTTTTGAATATTGAAAATTATTATTCATGCTCTTTAGGAGTTAATAATATTCTACTGGAGTATTAATAATATTGTGCTACTTCAGGAGCAATAACAAATTATTATTTAAAAACGCGAACTCTTTAGGAGCATGTTTTCTAGTAGAATGTGTTGACCTTGAGAATTGGACCTTTCACGTGGCCAACGGATAGCTACTCCACATAATCCTCTGCGCACAACAACGTACGGTTAGAAGCAAACGATCGGAACCGGCGGTAGTTTTTCTTTTCATTTCATATGATTTGGAAATAATTTTAGTTTAGTTAGATATTGGGTAAGAACATATGTTGTGAATTTGTTAAACCATGTGCCAATAATGATGAACCTAATTTACTTTTTTATAATTATCTCAATGAATTAGTTGAAATTTATATTGTTAAATTGATTTTTTTCATGAAAAGTGAAAACTGCAAAATTTATAAGTTAATAAAATTAATATTTTAATTATAAAATTTAAAGATGGTTTGTTTTGATTTTGTGCGATTTTTGAAAATCGAAATATAAACATAACCATTTTAAAATGGTTTAATTCAGTTTGAGGTAGGGATGTCAAAAAGGCTCGGCGGCTCGGGTAGCCCGCGGCCTAGCTCGTGGCTCGGAGCAATAGTGCTGAGGCTTAGGCCGAGCCCCATTTTGGGGACACGGGCCGAGCCTGAGCCAGTCCATGAGCTTTTATTATTAAAAAAAAGAAAAAGAAAAAGAGGCAGCAAGGTAGAATTATACCAAGTTTGCTGCCTTTAAAAAGAAAGTTTTAAAGAAGAAAAAAAAATCGAGCCTGCTTGGCTCTGCCCATAAAAACATGAGCCGAAAGCTGGGGCCAAGCCGAAATTTTTTGGCCGAGCAAAAGCTCGGCTCGACTCGTTGACATCCCTAGTTTGACAAAAAAAAATTTGTGGGTCCACGTGATCCGAACCAACAGTTTCAAATAAATGGTTTTGATTCGATTTGCGGTTGCAAGATTTTTTTGTGTGCAGCCCTAATGACAACCATCACATGTAAATCCAACACCACCATCTACGAACAAGACACATTTCTCATTTTGTTAGTTCTCTGGTCTAGAATTGTCTTTTTTTCCCCGGTTAGAATCTGAAGGAGAGAGTGGCAGAGAAAATTGGACGAGGGAACGGGGAAAAAAAATCCCAAAAGTGCCACTGCAATGATTATTTTACAGCTTTTTATTTATTTATAAATGAATGATGAGTAGTAATATGTGAGGGAATGAAAAACACAATCTTTCATAAAAGGAATATACCAACCTGCTTGTGAGTGATGACAACCTGCGATTTGAAGTGTGAGAAGAAACAGTTCGATGAAATGCCTTAACTAATTGTTTCTTTAATATTCTTAAGTTGCAATGATTTGCGTGTTATAATTCAGGAGAAATTGTCTATTTAACTAGTCAATCCATTATGGGTTTTCTTTGATCAGTTGAAAATAACACCTGCAAAGCTGCACGAAGGTAATTTCTTTTTATTATTTTATAATCTCATTGAATCCTTAAAAGAGTTGCTATTATCTCTTTCCTCTGTGCAGTCGGGAAAAATTTAATCTTGTTCGTGGAGGTTTTTATACAGATGAAGTTCAAGGCAGTTAGGATTAATCCAATTGTGTGTTTTGTACACAGTAGTCTACAAAATCACGAACTTGTGTTTCTTCCTTAATACTGCCCAAACATGCACTAAACGTTCCTAATTGGTGATTACCAGTCTTAGTAGTTGGGGGCTCTATGATCACTTCACAAATTAGCAACAAGCTGCATAGTGCACGAGCAGTCTTTTAGCAATTAGAAGCCCTGGGCACGAGACTTATTTAGATAATAAATAATTGGGAAAATACACTTGGCTAGTATATCTACTTTAGAGTTGAGTCGAAGTTTTTCCCAAAAAATAGAAGTTCGACTTCACTATGGGTCGAGGTTGGAAAAGTTCAGATGTGTGTACTTTCTATTTGAATCAAATTTAAAAATTTTAAAAAACTAACTCGGCTCCATTTGAGAATTCTCGACTTGGGTATTGCTTGTCAGAATCCATATCAAGCATATGAAGGTATAGGGATGGTGAGGATGGCATTCAATCTGACTTCTGATCCATCAGGCATTTGGTTTCACGTGTTACTATGGCATGTTTTATGTGGATATATTTACGAATCTTACAAGCACTTTTAACAATCAGTGATGTTATATCCACCCATAGATGATTTTTCTCCACTAACCCACACCCACCTCAAAAACATTATTTGACAGCTCCTGTTTGTACCTTGACAATTTAAGTCTTCATCTAACCAATTCTACTTTGATAATTAACATATTACTACATCATCGTCAATTGCATATTAGCACTTATTTGGAAATTGATTCTATTAATCTATTATTTCGTAAAGCAATTATCAATGGTATGATCTTCTACGTATTTTATTTATTTTTTAATTCTGCAATGTTTTATGTCCATTACTCCATAATTATTATCAAATGACAAGGACCTCGCAAGCTAACAAGAAAGTAATGTACAATTGACTTGACTCGTTCTTTTATTGGTTAGCAGTATCTATCATTTGTTGTAATTTGTTATTTATTGTTTGAAAAGTCTTTGCTCTTCGTTGTCTTCCTCTTGGAATGACTTGTAGTCAACGCTGGCTATGGGGCCTAAAATGGTTTCTTTGTCGTTGTAAGAAAAGTCTCTTTGTCAAGAAACCATGAATTGAGACGGTAGCACCTGTCTCTTGTTTTGATAAGAAGGGACGAAAACTGAAGAAAAGGATAGCGACTGGGAAAGTCTTTTCATCCATCTGGAAGGATTGTATTTTCCGTTCTTTTAATTGGCATCAAGAATAATTTAAATAGCAGAGAATGATTTATTATGATAATAGTTTGAAAATTTCTAAACTAAACGAATTTGGAAAAGGTATGAAGAATTTAAAAGCAAGGATAAAAGGACAGGTATTTATGCAACTAAATCTACTTGGGTGTAAAAGCAAAGAACCCGCACGTTTGAATGTGGCAAGTGTACGGGGACAATGGAATTTTCCTTGTAAAAAAAGAGCGCATATTCTGAACTCATGATTAGCACTAGAGCTTTACTATTTTTGAAATTAACTGCTTGTTACAAGGTCTTACTTTTTTAACCATAGCCTTGCTATGCAATGCTTCTAGTTTAGTACATTTAGCTGTTGAGTGATAAATCATTACCCGCCAATACTCAAATTGATAGGTCCCTTTTTTCTCTCTGTTTAGTTTCTTGCTTTATGATTATGCAATTCATTTAGGGACCCATTAATTCCCTTCAGAGTGTTAAGTAGGGGTGGGCGCGGGTCGGTTCGGTTTGATTTTCTTTAGAACCGAACCGAACCGAACCGAAATTTTCGGGTATCTAGTAAATGGAACCGTTGGGTCCAAATATAATTATGGAACCGTAAGGGTTCAGTTCCATTCGATTCAATTCGGTTCGGTTCTATAATTAAATTTTTTAACATTTATAACAACATTATATAAATACAACTAATGATACATTCAATGGTTTTGGAATGTCAGAGACTAGTAAACTACCTTGTTCAAATGATCGTTACAGTCAAAGTTTCGACCGGTGAAGGTCACAGCTTCGATCGGAGGTCACAATGTCGGCCGACGATTGTATAGGTTTTGGAATATTAGCGAGGCTGCGAGAGTGAATGCGAGAATCGAGACAACATTATGCACTTTAGTGTAGGTGTTTAGGGTTATTTAGTGGATTGGATCTTGTTGGGCTAAGAAATGAAACAATAAAATGAGTAATTGGGCCAAAGTTTAAAAAATTAGAAATGAAACAAATTATTGGGCAAAAAATTTAGATTTAGAAATTGTTAATTTGTTAATTTGTTTAGAAAAAATTAAAATTAAAATAATTTGATTTACTCAATATAAAAAAAAATTAGAAAGATTCGGTTCTTATTTGATTCTTCAGTTCTTGGTGTAGAACCGAGAACCGAACCGTACCCGTCGGTTCTTAATTCAGATATCCGTTCAGATATTTAATTTGACAAGAACCATCGGGTTCGGTTCAGTTCGGTTCGGGTTCGGTTCGAGAGATTTGCCAAACCCTAGTGTTAAGGAATTATGTATATTTGTTAAATATCGTCTATGTATGTAATTCCTGTATAGCTAGTTGCGCAAGGTGTGTCTAATTCTCCATCTTAGTGAGGGCGTGTGCATGTAGGTATGTGTAATGTGTTGTTTATTCTATTTTCCTTTATTTGTTAGTTGTAATTAACGTGCAAAAGTATCTCCAAGAAAATCTCCATTTTTTACGGAACATGTTCTTCAATTTAGAGATCATCTATAAATTTAAAAAGTAAAAATTTTAACTACTTAAATATGCTTTTTATATTTAATACTTAATTTTACTACTTTCAAAAAATATTTATTGTTTTCCCCATCTTTTATTTTTTCTAGCTTCCCTTCAAATTATTATATTTTTTTCCACCTTTGAAAATTGAAATACTGTAGATCCATTTAATTATAAAGACTTTCTAAATTAAAATGTTAATATAAAGTGTCTTTTGGAGCGTAAGTTTATGAGTTGACTATTTGAAATAGAGAGCATCTTATGGTTCAAGAGTTTATTGGAGATGCTCTAAATCTTTTAGTTCATTATTTCTTTATTTGTAAGTTGTACGTGTATATGTGGTCAAAGAAAGAAGTCGTGTACAAGTACTAAAATTATAGATTTTTCTTTTGAAGACATCTATCCATAAATTAACAACTAATTCATATATCTATAAATCAATTAAAAAAAAACAGTTATATATATAAATCAATAATTTTTCTAAATTTTTATTAATTTCAAAAAAATTATTATGTTGTAATGAGTAAGAGATAATTTATTAAATAAATATTAACTTAACCATGCTCTACTCACATATATAAAAGACATGCCTAAAAAACATGTTGGTTATTTACACAAAATACATCTTCCACTATACGAGAAAAACTTTGGTGGACGGTTGCACCACCTATGATGGTACGATTGTCCCACCAAAGATTTTCTCCCAATATACACACACTATACTTTGATCTTAAATTTCTCGTTTGAGCATCATTTTTGACAAGTAAATATATGATTTTGATATTATTAAGAAAGAGAACATGCATCTACTTTAATTTTTCAGAAAGAAAAAATAGATCCCACACAAAAATATTCCAAAACACCATTGAATTCAGCACCATTTTCTAGCAACTCCATCTAGCCTTGATTATATTTAGAATAACGGTCTAAGTGGCCACGGTGAGCCACCTAGACTAAGGGGTTCCAAATTTGCAGAACTTTTACTTAATTATTATATAATTATTTACAGTCTCGATGTCTGAGTCCATTTGTGTGGTTTCTATGCCCGACAGATCCATAATTGTTTGGTACCGTCCGATGTAAAATGAAAAAAGCAAATTGATTTTGAGTTTTAAAATCTGTGTTTGTCCTCACAAGTTTCCAAAACGCAAGTAGTTTATGCCAACACATACTCTTAATAAAAAAAAAAATATATATAAATTTCAATACAACTTGCAAACTTCGATTGCAAGAAATATTTAACGAACAATATCACCATTACTCTTAATTTTACTTAAATCATTTTGAAGCTTCAAATAACATTAACCAATTGAACCAAGGGTAGGGCGGCCCATGGACAATTTTGATACATACCCTACTTTTCTTTAAAGAAATTGAAAATACCTTCTTTTTCACTTTTTGGATTTTAGCAAATACCCGGCTTTTTTTTTTTTTTTTTAAATGCCATATTAATTCTTATTTAAGCTAATATTCGAATCCAACTACAATGTTTTTTTATCTTTAATTCAGTTTGTGGTGTCTCTTTTGAAGGAACATATGTAGAGTATTTATACAGGATGCGGGCTATGATTTTCTTCTAAGCTCTTTTTTTCCGTCATTTTTGGTGTGCCATTGCTGTAAATTCTTTATGATATCATGGAAGAAAACAAGAATTTTCTCATCAATGTGTAGATGTTTTGTTTAGATTAAAATATATTGGTAAAACATGAGCTGAAATATTAGTCTTTACTTTACTTTAATTTATTTTTTATACTCATTTTCAAGCACACATTCATATAATAAAATATTCTGCATTTAAATTCAAAACTTTTTCTTATTTTTTAAACACACACTCTAAAAAATACTACTCAAAATTATGTTTCTAAAATTTTAAGGATGTCAAATATAGACTAAAAATATTATAACCAACACTTTTTGCATTTCTGTGTCTAATTCTCCCTCTCCGTAAGGACATGTGTTGTCTATTTTATTGATATCAAACCTCAAACTGATTTGATCGAACCTCACTTTGAATCCACTTGTTAGTTAAATACAGGAACGAGAATAATATGAAAATGTGAAAATCAAGTAAGAACACGAGATCTACGTGTAAACTTATACCATGGATAGAAGACAAGACTTTATTAATATCAATATTGGAGAATTATAAATTATTGTGTAGAATATAATGATTGATCGGTGGTCAGTCAGTCGAGTAGCCTCCTCACGGATAGCGAGAGCTGGCACCCTTGTTTTGAACGCTCATCATCCACCGATGGGATGCTTCTTCTCCTTGCAC